GACCATTCCACGCACATACAATAACTATAAATGAAAAAATGTAAAAGAAAACTTCCCATAAGTTGCTGGGGGGCAACAAAATCAGACAGATAATGGGAGGGTGAGTGACACTCAGATAGAATAAAACAGTCAATTTTGTTTGTATGGCTTTTAGCCTGAGGACAAACCAGTCTGTACTGTGCAGAGCAGCTAAAGCTCAGAAATGTGTTGCCATAGCTGTCCTGTCCAGCTTGCAGAACAAAATAGCAGAGGTTGGGTTGACCATTGCAGCTGGAAAGTGAGGGGATACAGGAAGAAGTGAGCGAGCCTCAGATATCCTGCACACTCTGTCCAAACCTTCCTATAGCTCCTAAACTACACATGCGTGTGGCAGACTTCCAGCAGTCCAGCTAAGACTAAAAGAATGAGCTGAAATTGCAGCTGTCTTTGACTGCAGGGCAGGAAGGCAGTATGCAGTTTGAGTCTAGTAAAGTTATCTGCCTGTTAGCATGAAAAATCAGTATTTTTCAGCAACATGGAATCCAACATTTCTGGAACATATCATTTGTCCAGAATATAATACAAACTTATTCAATAAAGAAGAAAATATTACCCATGCTCAAGAGAAAACACAATCGAGACTGACCCAGAGATGATGCATATATTGAAATTAGCAAGCAAAGAATTTAAAGCAGCTCTTAATGTGCTATAGGATATAAGAGGAAAGTGCTCATAATGAAGAAAGTGGTAAGAAGTAAAGAAGAGAAGTCCGAACTAGAAAAAAGAACCAAATGGAACTGGAGAATTAAATAGTTGAAATAGAAAATTCAGTGGGCATAGCAGATGGGAAGTTACAGAAGAGTTACTGATTTTTTTTTTTTTTTTTTTTTTTTTGAGACAGGGTCTCACTCTGTTGCCCAGGTTAGAGTGCAGTGGTGCAATCTCAGCTCAATGCAACCTCCACCTCCCGGGTTCAAGCGATTCTCCTGCCTCAGCCTCTAGCGTAGCTGGGATTACAGGCATGTGCCACTACGCTTGGCTAAATTTTGTATTTTAGTAGAGATGGGGTTTAGTAGAGATGGGGTTTCACCAGCTTGACCAGTCGGCCAGGCTGGTCTTGAACCCCTGGTCTCAAGAGATCTGCCTGCCTTGACCTCCCAAAGTCTGAGATTATAGGCGTGAGCCACTGCGCGCAGCTGACTTACTGACTTTTAAGACAAAAACAAGTTATCTGAGGGAGAGAAAAATAAGATTGAAAATAGTGATTAACACCTTAGGACAATATCAAAAGATCTAATGTACAAATAATTTTTGGAGTCCAAGGACAAGAGGAAAGAGAATGAGGCCCCCCAAGGAAAGTATTTAAATGAATAATGGCTGAAATATTTTTATATTTGATGAAAGACAAAATTTGTAGATTCAAGAATCGCAGCTAACCTTGAGTCTGATATAATGCTCACCATACACATCTTTCCATTTTTCTCTGTTTGAAATTTTTCATAATGTTAAAAAAGTAATCAAAACACTCATTTTGAATGAAATATTTAGAAGTACTCAGAAACAAGTCCAGATGACGTAGACAGAGATATAGAAAGTGAGGGTGGTTAAGTATCTATAAAGTTTGTTGTTATCTTTAAAAAAAGCCTCAAAGAAAATATAGTCTATAGCCATCTAGATCTAAAATTCTAAATATCAATATGGGGATGGTATAAGGGAGCAAAAGATAGAAGCAGCATCTTGAAGCACTCGTGGGAAGATATTGGTAAATTTAAGAAGCTTATAATAGTATATGAAGATAAGAATCAATAGTAATATACCAGTAACCACCACCTTAAACCTTTTTTTTTTTTTTGAGATGGAGTCTCACTCTGTCACCCAGGCTGAAGTGCCATAATCTCAGCTCACTGCAACCTCTGCCTCCCGGGTTCAAGTGATTCTCCTGCCTCAGCCTCCAGAGTCACTGGGATTACAGGCAAGCGCCACCACATCCAGCTAATTTCTGTATTTTTAGTAGAGATAGAGTTTCACCATGTTGGTCAGTCTGGCCTTGAACTCCTGACCTCAAGTGATCCACCTGCCTGGGCCTCCCAAAATGCTGGGATTAGAGGCGTGAGTCACCGTGCCTGGCCATAATGTAAACCTTTTAAACCAACAAAAGAAGACTTGATACATCTATTGGAAAGCAAGAAAAAAAATGCTCTATAAATAATAGATATGTAACAATATGGAATATATCCTATGCTAACAGTAATTACAGTAAATGTAAGTGTATTAAGCTTGCCTATTGAAAAAGAAATACTAGAGGCCAGGGTAACTTGCATTTGATGAGAGCTGTTTTCTCTCAACCTTTCTGATCCAGACCCCTGTGCCCTGAGAACCCTGAGAGCAAAATGCCAGATAAGTAAGAGCTGGGAAGGTCCTTGGAGATGACACCTTGCCCCAGCTCACAGGGAGTTAACTGGATTTAAAATAATACCAGCTCCTATCCTTATAGCTTGTAATTCAGGTCTGGAATGGGGCCCTGGAATCTGCATTTTTATTACAAGTGTAGAGCCACTGCACCCCACCAGAATCTATATTGTATTGTATTGTATGAATGAATTAATGACAACGGGTCTTGCTCTGTCACTCAGGCTGGAGTGCAGTGGTGTGATCACAGCTCACTGCAGCCTTGACTTCCCGTGCTGGAGCAGTCTTCCTGTCTCAACCTCCTGAGTAGCTGGGACTGCAGGTGCATGCCACCACACTCTGCTAACTATTTTTCTTTTTTTTCTAGAGACAAGGTTTCACTATATTGCTCAGGCTGGTCATGAACTCCTAGGCTCAAGCCATCCTCCTGCCTTGGTCACCCAAGTGCTGGTGTGAGCGACTGTGCCTGGTGGAATCTGTATGTTCTGTTCTGTTATATATGTTATTTTTTTTTTAAGATGGAGTTTTGCTCTGTCACCCAGGCTGGAGTGCAGTGGTGCAATCCTGGCTCACTGCAACTTCTGCCTCCTGGGTTCAAGTGATTCTCTTGCCTCAGCCCCGCCAAGTAACTGGGATGTGTGTGCCACCATGCCCAGCTAATTTTTGTGTTTTTAGTAGAGATGGGGGGTTTCACTGTGTTGGCCAGGCTGGTCTGAAACTGCTGACTTCAAGCAGTCCACCCACCTTGGCCTCCCAAAGTGCTGGAATTATAGACGTGAGCTACCATGGCTGTGCCTGGCTGAATCTGCCTTTTTTTTTTTTTTTTTTTTTGAGATAGAGTTTTGCTCTTGTTGCCCAGACCAGAGTCGAATGGCATGATCTTGGCTCACTTCAACCTCCTCCCTGGTTCAAGCAATTTTCCTGCCTCAGCCTCCCAAGTAGCTGGGATTACAGGTATGTACCACCATGCCCAGCTAATTTTGTATTTTTAGTAGAGATGGGTTTCTCTATGTTGATTAGGTTGCTCTGGAACTCACAGCCTCAGGTGATCTGCCCACCTCGGCCTCCCAAAGTGCTAGGATTACAGGCATGAGCCACTATACCAGGCCAAATCTGCATTTTAATAAGAGCCTTAAGTGATTCTTTTTTTTTTTTTTTTTTTTTTTGAAAAATATAAACTTTATTTCTCAACATAAGCTCCATCAAGTCTAAGACATTTTTGTAAGCAATGATACCAGCCATTTAATTTTTATTTTCAGAGACAGTGTCTTACTCTGTTGCAAGGCTGCAGTGTAGTGAGATAATAACTTGTCGCAACCTTGAACCTCTGGTCTCAAGCACTTCTCCTGCCTTAGCCTCTTAAGTTGTTGGGACTACCGGCACATGCCATCACGCCTGGCTAATTTTTTAAATTTGTAGTAGAAATGAGGTCTTGCTATGTTGCCCAAGCTGCTTTTGAACTCCTGGCCTTAAGCAATCCTTTTGCCTCAGTGTCCCAAAGTGTTGAGATTATAGGTGTGAGACACTTAGGTTTAGCTAAAGACTTTTTAAATTAGGAAACAAAAAGAATTTGAGGGCTGGGCACAGTGACTCACCCTATAATACCAGCACTTTGGGAGACCAAGGTGGAAGTATTGCTTGAGTCCAGGAGTTCAAAACCAGCTTGAGAAACATAGACCCCATCTCTACAAAAAAAAGATAATAATAATTTTTTTTTTTTTTTTAAATTAGCAAGGTGTGGAGGTATGTGCCTGTGGTCCCAGCTACTCAAGAGACTGAGGTAGAAAGATCTACCTGAGCCTGGGAGGTAGAGGCTGCATTGATCCATGGCTGGGCCACTGCACTCCAGCCTGGGCAACAGAGTGAAACACTGTGTCAAAAAGAAAAAAAAAAAAAAAGAGAATTCAGAAGGAGCCAAATTGGGACTGTAAGGTGGATGCCTGATGATTCCCATTGAAAGGCTTGCAAAATTACTTGTTTGATGAGAAGAATGAGCAGGAGCAATGTCACAGTGGTGAAGGACTCTGGTGAAACTGTTCCAGGCGTTTTGGCTAATGCTTCATCTAATTTTGTCAAAACACTCTCATAATAAGCTGATTTATTATTCTTTGGCCCTCCAGAAAGTCAACAGGCAGAATGCCTAAAAAAAAACTGTTGTCATGCCCTTTGCTTTTGATCAATCCACTGGACCACTTCCACCTCTTAGTAGCCATTGCTTTGATTGTGCTTTGTTTTCAGGATTGTATTGGTGAAGCCACGTTCCATCTCCTGTTACAATTCTTTAAAGAAATGCTTCAAATCAGCTGGGCATGGTCACTCATGCCTGTAATCCCAGCACTTTGGGAGGCCAAGGTGAGCAGATCATAAGATCAGGAGTTTGAGACCAGCCTGGCCAATATGGTGAAACCCCATCTCTACTAAAAATACAAAAATTAGTCGGGCATGGTAGCCTGTGCCGTACTCCCAGCTATGCAGGAGGCTGAGGCAGGAGAATCGTTTGAAACCTGGAGGTGGAGGTTGCAGTGAGCCAAGATCATGCCACTGCATTCCAGCCTGGCGACAGAGTGAGACTCCATCTCCAAAAACAAAAAAAAAAAAAAAGAAAGAAAAAAAAAAAAAAGAAAGAAAAGAAATGCTTCAAATCCCACTTGTGTAAAACTTCCACCAAAAGTTCTGCTCTTGTCTGCAGCTGATCTGGACACTACAGTTTTGATATCCACCAAGTGGAAAGTTTGCTCAACTTTAATTTTTCAGTCAGAATTGTGTAAGCTGAAACAATTGAAATTACTATGGTATTGGCTACTGTTTCTGCTGTTAATTGTGTATCCTCTTCAGTTAAGGCACAATCAACATTAATTTTTCATTGCAAATTGATGTGGATTGTCCACTGCTGCAGGCTTCATCTTCAACATCATTTTGTTCCTTCTTAAAATGAGTTAGTCATTCGTAATCTGCTGATCTCTTTGGGGCATTGTCTCTATAAACTTTTTGTAATGCATCAATTATTTCACCATTTTTCCACCCAAGCATCACCATAAATTTGATGTTGTTTCGTGCTTTAAATTTAGCAGAATTCATGTTGTTATGATAGAGGCTCTTCTCAAACTGATGCCTTATTCTTCTTAGTGCCCCAAACTAGATCAATCATGGCAGAATGGGAAGCAGGAACATCTTAAATGGTGGCAGGTGACAGGAGTAAGCCTTAGGTGATTCTTTTTTTTGGAGACAGAGTCTCACTCTGTTGCTCAGGCTGGAATGCAATGGTGTGATCTCGGCTCATTGCAACCTCTGCCTCCTGGGTTCAAACTATTCTGGCTCAGCCTCCTGAGTAGCTGGGATTACCGCCATGTGCTAGCACGCCCAGCTAATTTTTGTATTTTTAGTAGAGATGGGATTTTACTATGTTGGTCAGGCTGGTCTTGAACTGACTTTGTGATCTGCCTGCCATGGCCTCCCAAAGTTCTGGAATTACAGGCGTGAGCCACTGCACCCGGCCGCTTAGGTGATTCTTAAAGTGGGGAAACTAAAGCAGTAAGCTTTGGGAATCTCTTCTCAGGCATCCTCCTCAATTCCCAGAAGCCCTCTTGAGACTCAGAACAGGAAGTCTGCCAGGCCGCATGGCTGCTGTTTGAAGGCTGGGAAAGAGCCAGATGTCTTCTAGAAGGGCTCATTTGGTCTCACTGTTCTGCAGGTGGAAGCGCTGGTTCTGAGTTTTTGCTACTGCTTCTATGGATTGGCCTCACTCAGGGAGTGCCATTGTCTCATGGGCTGGAATACTGGATACTGGAGGGCAGAGACAAAAGTGTTTTACCGTCTATGGAGCCCACTCTGGGCATAGGAAACCTAAAATTATTTGGATCTATGATGTCTCTGGTTTGCAGGATTCTACACATGACACTTTTTATAATGCAAACTTTTATATTCAAATATAATGTACATGCATAAAAGTGCACCAATAGAAAATATACAGCATAATGAATTTTCACAAACAACACACATTTGTTTAACCAACATACAGATAAGAAATAGAATTCTACCATACTATCCTTCTGCTCCAGGGCTCTTTCCTGACTTCTGCCACCATAAGTTGGTTTTGCCTATTTTTAAACATAATAAAGATGGAATCATGTATTTTTTGCATATCTGGCTTCTTTCAACATTATGTATTTGTGGTTCATCCATGTTGCATGTAATAGATCATTTGAAATATTTCATATGATAGTTTTGGATTATTGCAAATAATGCAACTGTGTACATGTCTTTTGGTTAATACATGCACACATTTCTGTTGGAGGAATGGAGTTGTTGGGTTGCAGGATATGCTCTGGTCCTGCTTTAGCAGATACTGCAGAACTGTTTACGAGAGGTTATAGCATGTATCACTTTTCAAAGGAAATTTTTTATGCCAAGGATCCTACATTTCAGTAAAATGAGAATTGGAATTTCTCCTCTAGTGGCACTTCAGCTAAGGAGGAAGTTATTCTGGAAGCCATCAGCAGGCTGTGGGGTAGGTTGTGTTCCTTTTTAGGTGCCAAGAGCTACATATGCATATCAGTGTGTACATCTAAGTGAATTGACACAGTTTCAAGTCTTCCACTCTGAGTGGACAGGTGTGTCTTTCAGAGGTTTATTAATAGACATATTAGTTAATGTCGTGGCAAGAAAAGATGACAGACTCAAGGGGCACCTTAGAATGGGTGAAGGGACAATTTAGTCAGAGTGAAGGGAAATAATGGGGCTGTGAAGCTCCCAGGACACACCCTCAACTCTTCAGCAAGGCCCCAGTGAGCTCATGAAGCAGGGAGCGGGCTCTGCCATCCCTGCAGCCTCCAGAAGCACACCTGTCCTCTCAGAGCCCTGTGGGCTCCCATAGGCCTGAAGGAGCAGTGTTACTGGGTTCTGGGAGAACTGCAGCCATGGAGAGGCTGCAGAGAGTGGTGGTGAGTAGGAGGTTGAACAAATACTTTGATCTCCTTTCCTGCCTCTCATCGCCTGCTGATGCATCTCATTGGCTAAGCCTAGCTGGAAGCCAGAGGATAAGGGACTCAATGCAGTTTATATAGGTCACCCTCCTGGGGTAGTTTCCTAGGATGCAAAGCAAGGATGTGGATCTGGAGGGACAACCAGAATATCTGACCTGATAGGTGTATTTTTCAGCTGGAAAGGGCTTACATATTGAGCGCAGAAATGTTGGTAAGTATAGAAACGCATAAAGGAGAAAAAAAAAAGAATACCTATAATCTCATCAACCAGAAGCATCGTCTATTTACATTTCAGTACGTTTGTTTCTAGTCCTTTTCCATACATATTTTTCAGTAGTTGAGATCACACCATGAACGTAGTTTGTTAGTTTTTGTAATGAGTTGGCACCAGAATTCTTCTTGGGGAAGAGACCTTTTGGTTTGGGGAAAGTTCTTTGGGAAGCTGGAATAGATGATATGGCTCTGATTACATAGGTATTAGTAGCTCAAGCAAAGGATGGTTACTATCTCTGTAGAAGAAAGTGGATTTGTTTATATTTACTGATGCTTTTGAAGAGAAGGTGGCTAAGGAAGCATCCTAATGTGGGTGGGGGGGGGTTGGCCAAGGGGCAGGTTAAGAATGGCCTACAAAACTGATGACTTGTTCTCCCATTCTTCATACCACTAGAATTAGTGTTGTGGATGACTTGGGGGAGACCCGGGTCCTTTCTCTGGGAAGGGAGACCCATTCCCTGTTGAGTGATGGGCATGTAGCCCAGTCCTGGCTAATGAGTTTTAAGGGAATTGTGCCAGAGGCTACTGGGAAGGGTTTCTTCCTGATAAAAAGGGAGGGGCATGTGAGGAGAAATTCTTTGCCCTGCATTGACTTCTGTTTCCTGCCCCAACTTGCAACTTGAAGAGAAAGGCCAAGAATTAAGAATTAGGTCTCATTAGCCAGGTGGGCACACTGGTACATGTCTGTAATCCCAGCTACTCGGGAGACTAAGGCAGGAGGATCACTTGGGGCCAGGAGTTCAAGACCAGCCTGGGTAACATAGTGAGACCCCTGTCTGCCCCCAGTTTTTTTTTAGTTAGCCAGACATAGTGGCTTGTACCTGTAGTCCCAGTTACTCAAGGGACTGAGGTGGGAAGATTTCTTGAGCCCAAGAGTTCAAAGCTTCAGTAAACCACCATGATTGAGCTACTAAACTTCATATCCTATGGAACAGAGCAAGATCCTGTCTTAAAAAAATAAATAAAAATAAAAATTAAAAAATTAAAAGAATTAGGATCCTAGCCCCCATTCTCAGCTCTGTTACATGTCACTGTACTTCAGAGTCACCCAAGTGAGACTGTAATATTGCCATCCACTTTCTGTTGGTGCCAGCATATGGAGAACTGTGCAAATCAAGCCCAGATATTTCCTTCTCAGCTACCTAGTCATAAGGAACTCACTGCAGGCATAGATGAGGATTGAGCGAGAGGAGGCAATGCAACAGGAGTCAATGTCAAAGAACTTACTGACTTACTGGTGTCCTCTGGACCTGCTTGAGTCCAGCCTTTTCTATTTTTGCTGCACAGGTCTAATCTGTGGCTAGGTGGGTCAATAACTATAAATTTATGTTGGGAAGCTCAAGTCACAAGGTTACTTGATATCTCATGATTCAGTGTTTATTCTTTACTAAGGGCCAGTAGAAAAGCAGAATCTTTTTCAAATGGATAAGAGGGCATGGATTTGCTTCCAAACCCTAGAGTTTTGTACTGTGATTGTCCTGTTAGTGCTTGCCACAGCAGTCGGTTTGTCACAGGCTCCATAAAGTCCACCTTTGTTCTGGTCATAACTGCTTAAATGAGCATCATTCTCAAACATGACATTTGGGAAAACACCAGAGTAAAAGAAAAAAACTATCCGTAGATGACAAAAGACTTAAAAGCCTTTGTTGCGTAACCAATGTTTCCAATTCTGTCCTGTGGTCAAGGAGGACAGATTCTTATCGAGCCTGTGTAAATAATTACATTGCCATGAAATTAAGAATACTCAGAGTTTCCAAATTCTGGAAAGACCAGGCAATAAGAAAAATACACCATTTGCAAATTGATATGGTTTGGTTCTGTGTCCCCAACTAAATTTCATGTGAAATTGTAATCCCCACATGTCAGCAGAGGGGCCTGGTGGGAGACGATTTGATCATAAGGGCAGATTTCCCCATTGCTGTTCTTGTGATAGTGAGTTCTCACAAGATCTGTTTGTTTGAGAGCATGTGGCACTTCCCCCTTTGCTCTCTCTCTCTCTCTATCCTGCCACCATGGTAAGATGTGCTTGCTTCCCCTTGTCTTTCTGCCATGATTGTAAGTTTCCTGAGGCCTTCCACCATGCTTCCTATACAGCTTGCTGAACTGTGAGTCAATTAAACCTCTTTTCTTCATAAATTATCCAGTCTCAGTTCTTTATAACAGTGTGAAAATAGACCAATGCACAAATGTTCATTTTAGTTTACAAGAATATAGTCTACTAAATTGTTACGAGTTATAGATAGCTTAAGATAAAGGAGCTCTTTGTATATTCAGAAAACAGAACATTAGAACGACAATATTCCTAGCAAAACCCATAACCATCTCTCATCAGTTCATTCAGTCCTATGTCATTAATTCCTGCTCTGCTCAATCTTAGGTTAGCAGTCTCATGAATCCATTTGTTTCTCAGAGTTCTAGAAATCCTGACTCAGTCCAATTATGTGGCTTAAGCAGTGCCATCAGAAGTCTGTATCCAAAGGTACCTGACATAGTCCTTTTCCACAGAGCTCTGAGACAGTCATTCTTTATTGAAGACAAAGTGCCCTGGCCTGTAGGTGATTTCAAGTCCTTTCAGAGAAGCATCAGAATAAAACAGAACACTATCAGTAGATAAGAGAAAACTTAAAATGACTATGGTTAACATACTGCTTATAATCATCAAAAGTGAAAGCTGTGATGAGAGTTCATTACAAAGAAAATGCAACTCATAAGAATATTTGCTGTTTCTGGGGCATGCAAAATAAGATGAAGTCAGTCAAAATATCTATAATGATTAACCCCATTTTCAAAGAAAAGTAGATGTTACATCTAATTTACAAAAATTAACATAACATTTTCAGGGAAAAAAAATCTCAAGATATAAAACAACAAACCTGAGCCACAATATATCATAAATAAACCAAGTATATAGCTAGAATATACCAATGACAA